AAATTGATAACCTTTAATTTAATACACGATAATTCACATATAAGCCCACCCCTTACAACTACTACTGCACAAGTTGATCGAGATGACTTCAAGCGTAATCGTAAATGGAAGCCTAAACATCATATGATGACTAGAAGTAAATCACGAAAGCGTTACCGTAAAGGTGTCGCGTACATAGAAAAGGAAAAGGAGCTAGAACTTGCTAATTACAATGTTAAATCTGGTTCACTACTACGTGGAAAAATATGTACATAGAAAAATTAGTCTCAACAAGTTCTTAGTAATACCAAAAATCAAAAAATTCACTAGTTTCCTGCATTGTGTCCAGTAAATGAAAAGTGCATTGTGTCCAGTAAAAGAAAAGGGCTATTCTACAAGTACATAACACTTTACTTAATATGTGCCATAATTGACAAATGGCGGTCCCCTATTGGGGGTGGGGGGGCCGGGCCCACAAACGCCCCCCCAATAGGTAAGATATTATGTACAACAAGAATAATCCAAAAGAAAAACATTTTGTCAAAAGGATCCTAAAAATGCCAGATATACACCCCAAGCAATTTAGTCCATTTCCTTCTTGTCCTCCATCTTCTTGAAGAGAGTTTGCAATACCGTTGTGCTCCTTAGGAGAGTCGACAAACCTTGTTAATCTGTGTGAAACAGTGTGTAAATTTTCGTTCAAGGATTCTTCTTCACCATCGTAATCATCATCATTCTCGTAAACTAAATATATCCCAAATTTCTTCAACATAATTCTATGATCATAAGGAGGATTGCGCCTTACCACCCGTATTTTATCACCTTCTTGTAGTATCAAAAATAAATGAGTATAATCTGGATATCTGCACAAAAAGAGCTGATCCTCCTCTGTAGAAGGGATACCTCTTAAGTTCATTGTATGGGTCAAAACTGCTATGTTTGCTCTCAGGATCTGCGCTTGGACTTCGAATGTTACAGGCAACCCGTCATATCTTGAATCATGCTCAATTTGAGGGTTGTTAGAGATGACAACAGCTATAATCACGCTCTTTATTGCATCATATTTCTTTTTGGAAAAGCAAACCTCATCTGGAGTAAACCAATCCGGGATTTCGCTTCCAGGGATACTAAAATTTCGTAAATTCCTCAAAGCCACCTGCATCAAGGAATTGTAACATAAGTGAGCCCATGTTTGTCTTCCATTATTTCAATTCTCTTTTTTTCTCAAACTCATTTTCAACCACACGTTCTCATAATAAAATATTTTTCACATAAACCCAAAACTTTTCTTACTTTTTAACCACACATTCTCCAAAAATTTACTATTCCAAAATTCATTTTCATTGAATAATGGTAGACAATCACGGGCTGAATTACATTGCATTCATGCTTTTGATAGTACAAATTCATAAACCAAAGTAAAAAAAGAGAAAAAAGAGCCATTGTCCAGGCTATTGTAACACCTGTGCTGCCTAGAGCACAAGGCACATGATGACTTGACATCATCCTCACCTCTTTCGTGTTTATCATGGGCAGTCTATTTGAAATCCAAAACTCAATTATGGCAAGTAAACACGAAGGTTGCGCTCTCTGTGGGACTTAACCCAATACTTTTCTACACGATCTGACAAGGCACCCCTCTATTTCAAGAGGATTCGCACATGCATACAGATAAGAGAGAGGGATACCTTGTCAAGTTTTCGTATCACTGCTGAGGCACAAGAACTGCAACCTCCCATGTACAACATTTTCAAGGACTTTAATTGTTCGACGCCTGGAACGTCCACTAGTTTCTCACAATTTGCGAAATCTATCTGCATCAAATTCTGCAAATTTGAGAGATCAGAAATGCTTTCCAGAGACGTGCAATTTGCAGCATTTAGTTCCTGCAAACTCTCGGGAAGTGGAGGAAGAACTTTAAGCAATTTGCACTGGGATAATTCTAGCTTTTTGAGAACATGGAGTCCTCTCATATTGGATGGAAGACTATGAAAATCATTGTGACTCAAATTCAAAGTCTCTAAAGATATTAACTTCTCAAAATCATCAGGTATCTTCCCAGATATCTTCCATGCACAAGCATTGAATTCGACTAATGAGGAAAGATCTGAGAAAGAAGATGGAAGCACCTTCATCTCTAGACTAGTAGCAGGCTCTGATGTTCCAGAAAGGAGGCTCTGTTTCATTCCCAACGTCTGTAAATTAGAAAGCATTCCAAATGTTTCAGGTAATTCGGTAATGGCAGTTTCCACCATAAACAGGCGATACAAGTTCTTCAATTTTCCAAATGAGGCCGGTAATTTTCTTAATTTCTTGCAATTATTCAATCTTAACGTGGTGAGATTTTCCAACATTCCTATAGATTCCGGTAACTCTAATATGACAGCATTGTCTAAGATCAACGTATTAAGGGCTGACATATTTCCGATTGATTCTGGAAGTGCAGTAAGATTCTTGCAATCTCTGGCTTCAAGCTTCTTAAGTGATTTCAAGGAACCAATTTCTTGAGGTAAACTAGTTATTAAAATCCTGTCTAACTGAAACTCAGTCATTGAAGATAACCCTTCAATGGTAGCAGGCAACGCGTGCAAACATTCACATTTGCTGACCGATAAATCTTTCAGATAGAATAGCGAACCAACAGATGCTGGTATAACTTCTATGGAACTACCGCTAAGGAAGAGTTTAGCCAATGATTTGAGCTTTCCAATGGAATCTGGAATCACAACTAACGATTTACACCACATCAAATTTAGAGTCTCTAGATTTCCCAAAAAACCAATGGTATCAGGTAGTTCTTCCACTGCAGAATCACGAAGAGAAAGTTCCCTTAAGGAACTAAGCTTTCCTATGCTTTTGGGTAGTCGTTTTAATGATTTGCAATGGTTGAGGGAAAGCTTTTCGAGATAAGTTAACCCGAATATAGTTTCAGGCAATTCGTCTATGGCAGTTCTATCAGCAAGAAGTTCTCGTAAAGAGTTCATGCTGCCAATATTCCAAGGTAGATTTTTCAGTTCTGAACAATCAGAGAGAATAAGTACCTCGAGACATTTTAGCCCAGAGACATCACTTGGAAATTCAACGAGGCTTGAACATGCCCTCAAGTTGAGATGCCGTAAAGTGTCCAAGCTGCCTAATGATTTGTGAATTGTTTTCAGGTTAACGCAAAGCTCGAGTATCAGCTTTTCCAGGGATTCGTGCACAGACAAATCAGGAATAGCAGTCAGGTTACAGCAATTATAGAGATTTAACACCGTAAGTTTATTTTTCACCTGGAAAATAGAGAAGAAAAAAATTAATTGTCATTGAGCAGATAAAGGAATGTGAGCATTTCAACTGAGATTTTTTTGCAAAATGAAATCAAGCACATGGAAGCCTTTTTAGATAAACTGTAATCTTAAAGTAACTTGGAGATCGATGTTGATTGATTAATAGTCTAGTGGTCAGAAGAATAAAAAGAGAAAATCAACACTACTTTTGGCAATCCTATAAATCAGAGTGATCAGAAGAATAATGATCCGTCCCTCATGGAAATCATAAGAATAAAGAGCAAAACAGTATTATGACATTACCATGGCATTATGTTCTACCATAACAAAAGACGACTTCATTTCTACCATGTATATAGATTATTTTTCTTTTCAATTTTGTTTCATTACGGAAGATTCGAATAGAATTAGGCTCTAATTCACCACTCTCTCAGTTCATTTTCTCTTTCACAGTTTCAAATTTGTTATGGAAGAATAAATTCTTTAAATCTTTTCAACTTTCTGATGCAGCTAGCTCCAACTGGAATTCCAACCATAGCCCGCCACCGGCAGATCAGGAGGAAGCCTGATCGAATTCAACTTGCTACTGTTCTATTTTATTTTATTGCTGATTTATTTTACTTAATTAAAACTTATTATTCTTAGGACTCTATTGTCTTTCACGTTGGGTAGGCATGGTATTTGATTGTTTTTATTTCATAATTAGGGTGGGATTTTTGTTATAATAATGTTTGCACAGATAAGAGTTTCCTCGCCTAAATTCAACCTTGTTTGATGATTGGTTATCGTGATTGTGGTTCTATTGTTTCCTGTCTTCTCTAGAAACCACAAGCCGAGAAAGTAACAGAGCATGCTGATGGGATTGATTGTCGAAAAATGTCATGAAAGTGAAACATACCTTTCTTCCATCCCAGAACCCTTTCCTTCCAGACAAACTTTCTACTTTGCTCTCTGAGAGATCAAGAACACTCAATTCCCCGGCCAAAAGTATAGAAGGAAGAGTTTTGTGCGAACATTTCCTCCATTGTAGCCATTTCACTGCTGTAGGGATATTTTCAAAACCTCCCTTCAGTCGGACATTACTAAATCGAAGCAACCTGAGATTAACCATTGATTTAAACCATCTGGTATCAACTATTTTTTCACCTTCATCTGCATCACGTTGAAAATATTCCTTGTATTTCTCCTTCATATATGTTAATGCAGCAGTTACATTGGGGGATCTTCGAAGATTGTCTAGAGCTATAGAACTTGGAATTCTCATCCTTTTGCGATTCATCACTTCCATGTCAACAATGAGCCCCTGGATGCATTGTGTCCCCTGTAGATTGATATTTAAATTTCTGAGTATAATTGAGAAGTGCTCTAAGAAAAATGTCAGCAATTAAACTCTAATGCAAGTCCCGAGAGTAATAATGGAAGAAACAAAAAACAGAAATGCACACATTGATTTACAGTTTTACACACTACCTGCACCACAATAAATTTTTCACTATAATGAAGGGGAAGATTACGGTTTTTCCCTCACCCTCTTTGTCTATCTTAAAGAAAAAAAGCCCCTTGGATCCCTTCACGTAGCACAGGGAACAATGTGACCTATGTGTTAAGAGACAAATCCCTCGTCAGTTAAGTACCGAAATTCAGACCAGTATACACGTGCTGGCTATTTCTCTTAATAAGGTCGACATTTTAAGATAGAATCCCAAGTCCTATGGTATTAAATCCCATTAAATTCCAATGAGCAATTCAATTTGATTAAAACTCAAAACGAGCATACAGATTTTAAGATTTTTTCTACTCAAACGAGCCACCATCTAGCAAAGGTATATTAAAAGATAAATCTCACATCGGTTAATTATCGAAATATTGATCAACAGTAAGGACTTGAACTACTGCTAGCAACTTGGACAACATATAACGATGTTTGTCGTGCATATCACTAGGAAGATCGGAATCTTTACAAAAGGCTTTACTCTTAATAAGGTTGATCTTTTAAGGTAGAATCCCAAGTTTTAATATTACAGAGATATTAATGCTCAATATACCAAATAATAAAAAAATTATATATGCATGCCCAATCTAACCCTATAGTAAAATAATGTAGCGTACAAAACTAGATCAATCCGAAGTCGAGGGAACAAGTGAATAATATAATTAGACACCATACAATCTAACAAATTTATGACGTAAATATATACCTTCTCACCCTGCAAGACCTGAAGAACATCTCCATGATCCCATATTCTACTGCGCTTTCCAATATCTGAATAGCTTTCCTCTATAATGATCTGTCTTCCCATATCTCTAATCTGATCGTGCATCCACAACCTATCTTCCCCAACAACCTTGATGAGAGATCTATCAATAAGGGCTGTAAGTCCAATCTCCGCTTTGAAACCACAACCCTTTATGACATCAATTACATCCTCTCTCTTCATTTCTAAATTCAATAACAAACATGCAATGTCGAGAAATACACTCTTCTCTTCATCACCAAGTGCGTCATAGCTTATCCTCAAGATATCCTGTAGATGGTTGGGGCGAATCTTCTTCAGCTTTTCTAGTTCATCATGCCATTCCTGCACTCTCCGCTTGTCAAAAAGGAACGAACCAAATACTTGTAGAGCCAAAGGTAATCCTCCAGTAATGGAAACAATTTGTTCAGACAGTTTCAAGAAAGTGTCATTAGGCTTCTCTCTTCTCAATGCATAGTAACTAAAAAGTTTTAATGAATCAGAAGGGCATAGTTGTCTCATCTCATAAATCTTCACAAGATCAGTTGGCAAAGCATCTCTATTTCTTGTAGTAATGATAATCCGACTCCCTTCATGCAACCATTCTCTACAAATGGCTAGTTCATTAAGCTGATTAGCATCATCAACATCGTCTAAGACAAGCAGAACTTGTTTTTCCTGAAAAATTCGTCTGATGGCTATCATAAAAGCATTATTTCCATCAACGTGATTCTCTGAACTCTTATAAAGATCTTTAATGAGCTCGTTTTGAAGCAACAATAAACCATCGGGTTTGGCAAAAGTTTCTCTAACATTTGAGATGAAACTGCGGTTTTCAAAATGCCTTGCAAGTTTATTGTAAACAGCTTTAGCAAGCGTTGTCTTCCCAATTCCACCTGTACCTAGGAATCCCAGAAGTTGAGGGGCATTGTTCCTAACATCCAATAATTTCATCACTTCCGTTACCAGAAAATCAAGGCCCACAGTATATGGAGCCACAGCAACTGGGGAGTTGTTCAATTCATTTAAGATCCTTTTAACTAAAGATTGGATCAAATGTGTCTCTTCCCTGCCAACAAAAGTACAATTCATTCATAAAGTTAGCATAGCCTAGGAATTCATTTGTTTAATTATTTATCGAAGGATTGAAGAACAAATATATGCTTCAATGAAACTCATTTTTTTAACAGAAAACATTTTTCAACCACACATTAAATATTATCCACTTATTCATCATTCATTTCTATCTATTTATAAATTATATCAAGAAATTTTGGGAGTTTCATAAAGAAAAATTTAACCTAGTACGTTGTTTTCCTGCCCAAACTGACATCACTTGTGAGGTGACAATACTGGTTTTTGGACACATTCATTATATTGAACCCTACCATTACCGATAAACATTAGTGTCCTTTCATATTCATCACTCTCTTGTGCTGAGAAAGCTATACAAATCTTGAAATTTTTGACTTGTCAAGCTTATAATAGCATATTTGGGTGCTTATTTTTTACTTATAAGTAAACAAAAAGAACGGGGAAAAAAAAAAGTATGCAAACTCAGCGACCCCATTTTGTGTAATGGATTTTAACATAAACTTACCATGGGTCCTCGACTAGGTGTTACAATAAACATGCTTGTGCTTACATAAATTGGTAAATTTTTAAGAAAATCAACGATTAAATTTAACTGCTTTTTTAACTCCAATCAAATTGCTTGTTTGTCCTCTTTAAGCTTCAAATGTGAGACTTTCATTTTCTCATCCAATTATTTGTCCATATATTAATTTATATTTATTCTTCACTCTTTTATGTAGGAGTGGACGCAGTCTAGTTTGGTCCAATTTTGAAGAGAAGAGAAGATAACCGAACCGAGTACCAATGAGAATATTAGAAATGGAACCATTGGTTTCATATCCAACTATAAAACTGAACCAGAACTGGAACCGAACCAACCGGTTCCGATTTGGTCTGGTCTAGTCTAGTCCGGTTCTTTATATTGAAAAAATTATAAAAATAAAGTATGAAACTATTTGTAAAATTGAAAATAGACAAACAAAGAGTATGAAATCAGTTGTCATTCTTGTAATCAAACAATACAAAAAATCTATTAATCAAGGCAACAAACAAAAATATTCCAAAGCTCAATATCAATTTAGAAAGACGAAAAAATAATAAACTATTAAAATAGCATAAACGGTAAAATTTCTATTGAAAATTAATTCTTAAGAAAATTCACATAACAACAGCTTGATTTTTTTAGTAATTCTTAAGAATCGTGATTCTTGATAGTCGGTCACTTTGAGCTTATATTGTTGCATTAAAACTTTGAATTTGTAAAATATTTATAAATTTATTTAGACTTGAATTTCGATCACACATTAAAGGAAAGAAGCAGTGTATGAAAAATAAAATTTTAACATAGGATAATTTTAAGGTCTATTGTTTAAAGGTCTAGTGCATCTTAGTGCAAGTAAAAAAAAAAATACGGGAGAACCGAATTCACTGTTGGTTCTCACGGCAGTACCGAGAATCTGACCCCGATGGGAATTGATCGGTTCTCGATGTATGGTCCCAAAATCGACCCAGTTAGTCGAGGAACCTGAGTCGAACCAGCCGGTTGTATTTGGTTCCGATCCGGTTCCACCAGTTCAGGGAAAAATGCCCTATTTACTTTTATGGGAAAAAAAAAAAATTCAACTAGTCAAAAAATAAATGTTTAAACTATTTGAACATTTTAGATATATAACACCAAACTATTGGTGCTAATTTCTTAGTTATGCATATATACATTTCTTAGTTATGCATATAACACCAAACTATTGGTGCTAATTTCTTAGTTATGCATATTTCTTAGTTAAGGGGAAAGATATTTTCCTAATTCTCTTTCTTTAACTAACAATTATCTTTATCAAAATTGTTCGGAAGGTGATTATCTAAGGCCTAGCTTTAGAATGAAGATATTTGCTTAGAACTCGAGCCAAAAACATAGTATTATCATGAATAAAAGTTGGTGAAATATTTTGGTGTTAATAAAGTTTTTTATTTCTCTAATTAAAAGCACACATATATGCTCTCATTTCCTTGTAGATTATTACCTAATGACATGAAATTCTAATTATTTTCCGTGAATCGACTACTAAAACACATTTATGACAATATTAATAATCGGAATTAAACAAGGTCGAATGCTAAAGAAAAGAGAGAGGAGAGATATTCCAGACGACTCGACTCACGGGAAAGGGAATGATGTCAAGATCATTTGGAGAAGAATACTGAGTCGATTTAGACCATAATCGAAGAGATTTGTGGACCATTTTTAATTATCGTACATAAGATTTTAACTTCTTTTACTTAGTTAATATTGTTGATCATTGTGTTTCCCAAAATCGTGTAATTTGGGTTTTTTCATACAGATGTTAGAGAGAGAGAGAGAGAGTAAATTAACTTGCTGTTGTAAACCCAACCAGAAATTCCTCCAACTCTTTCCATGGCATTCCTCCATCTCTTCACTTTCTTCACTCCACAATTTGCCTCGAAACTCTCAATAGCTTCCTTAAATGGCCCTTTCTGCCTCCTCACGTCCGACGGGTCTACTTGGAAGAACACGGGGAGCACCAGTTTCCTTAACTCGCAAATTATGGCCAGCTCCTCCAGGCAACACCGTGAGGATGCATAATTCGGCGATATAACAACGACAGCCGCCGCCGAGTCCTTAATCGCTTCGAGCGAACTCGGAGCTATCTCATCGCCTCGATTCATTTCATCATTGTCTCTAAACACTCGGATCTCATTGGAGAAGAGGGAGTTGTAGAGAAGATCAGTGAAGTTATTACTGGTGTCTTCGCCTCGGAAGCTCAGAAACACGTCCCATTTTAGCCGGGATGCCGCCGCCGGAGTTGACTCTGAAACGTAGTCGCTTTCCTCCATTTCTTCCTCTCCACAGTGCTAGTTCTCGCTGTCTGATTGTCAGTGCTAAGTTTTTTTTCTCACTTTGGTGACTTGTTTCGTGATGTTATACATGTGCGCGTGCCTAAGATTAAAATGTAATTTATAAGAACATCTCCAATTGTTTAAAAATAAGATGCTCTTTATTTTAAGAGTAATGCTATTTATAATCGTTTACTGCGATAGTTGCCCTACGTGGTACATACATGACTGTAAATTGCATTATTCTTATTGAGTAATGCTATTCATAGTCGCTCACTGCGATAGTTGCCCTACGTGACACATACATGACAAGTAGTTATTTGATACATTAACGTGGTGATTTTTTTGCTACATGAATGCATCAAACACACACTTGACGTGTGTGTACTATATAGAGCGGCTGTCACAGTAAGCGACTGTCACAGACATTATTCTTATTTTAAAGGGTCAACATTTAAAATCTTATTCCAAGATATTCTTTAAATTAATATTTTAATTTAGAGAGTCAGTTTGACTCTCCAAATTCACTCTCTATAATTAAATACATTTAAAGTGTTTTAATTTTCAATATAGGATTAGAGATTGATTTCGACTCTCCAAATTAGAATAGCTGAACTCATTCTCTATAATTCAATGCATTCATATTGTATCAATTTCAATGTGTGAAAATAATAAAATAATTTAAAGAAAAGCTAGTTAAAATAAAAGATAAAGAAAAATAATATTTTTTGGGAGTAGTAAAATTAAGTGTTAAATATAAATAGTTTGTTAGAGTACTTTAAAATCTTAACAATCTAAATTTATAGATACTCTCCAAATGATACAATATATTTTTTAAAAACAAATAGTCTCTTGGAGATGCCTCTTGGTTGACCCTGGTTGATCTCCATAAAATAATTTTTTTAGGGGATCTGTAGTTTAAAAAAAATGAGTTTATATATAATATTTAAATGGGTGATTAAAAATAAATAAAGAGAAAAATGTATTAAATTAAAATAGAGCCAAAAGGAGGCTTAATTTAATTTAAAATTAATAATATAATAAAATAATTTTTGTATAATGAAGAAAAAAACACTTGTTAGGAAGGACATCGCACATATGGGTTGATTCAATGATCAACCATGACACATGTCCACCTTTTTACATCATTTTTTATATTGTCGCATGTGATGAAGCGTGATTAGACTTTTTTTACTAAAAAATACACTTTCCCACCCAACGCTTCTGAACTCCAAGAAATGTACACTTTCTTCGGTGATTGTGCAGGTTACTATTTGAAAGAAATGAGAGTTTTTCTTTTGAAAAGAAAAGTAATCTTCTTGGATGTGATTATGCAAAAGATATTGAGGGACTAGTTTAATCAATCACCTAAATGATGACTCCCACTGTTGCTCTTTTGGGAAATATTATATTGTGGACGACTACTATAAAAATTGCTCTGGGATGACTATATACTTTGCAAAAGGAAGCCTAAACGTTTTGGTGACTCTTACACCTCGCCTCCTATGCTCAAAGTAAAAGTGCCAAATACCAAGCCACGTAAGCAAAAAACCAAACGAAAACACGAGGTCAAAATATGAAGAAGTCAAACAAAATCGAAATTCTTGCACTGAGGACGACATCCAAGCTGAGACATTGCCTCAAAGACAAAGTTGCCTAAGTAAACAAAGAAAGGAGTTGAAACTCTCCACTTAGAGAACCACCTCAAAGATTCCTCTGAGGCTCTCAAGCTCATCTGTGACTCACGAAGTCAACGCTGTCTCTTATAATATATTCAAAGATTTCTTTGATGTAACACTTGTAATAAAGTTTGTCAGTATGTCGCTTATTGTATAGAACGGCTGATCCCTTAAAATGTATTAATTGTATGAATAGACAGTGATGTGAAACCTTAATTAGGGAAATGAAGTCACATGGTTCTGATTAAACGATCACCACGTCGATCAAGGTAGTATAAATAGGTTATATTTGTAATTGAAAGGGGTTGGATTATTGATTGAAATTTGGACAATCATATATTCGAAATACACACTTGAACTCTCAAGTATTTTATATAAACATTTGGTTGAATATTTGTAGTTTGGCTTACATGTTCATCACGCAAATTTCAATGTACAACATAGCAACTTCTATACATGTTTTATCTATTCTTCATCATATTCCTATTTGTTACTACATAAATTCGTTTGGTTTTTGCCTAGTAATCGTTGTTTGCGCGATTATTTTTGTTTCACCCATGGGAGATTGAACAGTTTTGTCTGTTGCAGCAAAGTACCTCTTGCGTCCATTTTCTCTTTGCTATCGTCGTTATTCCGATAATGCGTCGGAATCATACTTGACTTAGCGTGAGTGGACTCGACATCTGTTAGCTCATTTTCTAGGGTCAACAGTGACTAGAAGGAAATAAAGATGGCATTAACGGGGAATGTGTCGTGAATTTTGTGTTTTGTTCACTCACAGGCTTCAAGTCAGTTTTATTTACTTCATTTAGGATCGCTGATTTCTTGATTGGACTTAACTAAGTGAAGCATCATGCTTAAACTGTGTTGTACATTGTAATGACTAAAGAGATTACACTTCATTTGTAATATTCATACTCCTCATTATCATACGTCGATTGTAGTATCTCTTTCTCTTATAATCACATTCAGACTCTCTATTTGAATTAGATTTAAATTTATTATTGTACCCCAAATTTGAAAAAATGAAGAATTTCAAAAATTCATAGCTTCATTTCACTCTCTATGAAACTATCAAAGAGTCCTAGCATATTTCCTCATGCTCGAATAGGAAGGTGGGTCATCTGCTCTCATCTCACTCGCACCACTACCTTATGTACAAAATGTAGAATAACCTCTTTATTTACACATTACATATACAATCCCATATTGTTTAATGTAACAAAGTATATGTAACACGTAAGAAGATGGGTATTTATGAATAATTTCCTTATGAATTTAGCAAGGTTACTATTTTAATACATTAGTCGGAGTTGGAAAGGAATTTTTTTTATTTTTTAAATGAGATTATTAATTTATCGAACATTCATTTAGTAAGATTTTATTGTATTCTTGGTGTTGGGATTATCACTTTCAGATGCCAACCTTATTAAGAGAAATAATTCAAATTCTTATATATTAGTTATCTTTTTGAAATATAAGAGATGTAACGCTTTACCATTATCAATACATTCCCACACAATTGTTATTGTAGTATAGCTTAATTAACCGCGAAGTGTGATTGGTGTACTAGATAAATTACACCCTTGTTTAGTTTAGATTTAAATTCAATTAAACTTTCAAGTCAAAGTCAACAATTAATTTTAACCACACATTTTATGGAACCTACAACTTTTCAACCACAAATCTAATCAACTTTTATCAAAATTTTCTAAAAAACTAACTATAATATCTACCAAACAGGGCCATACCTTACGAGCGGCCACTAGAGAGCACAATCAATTGATTAATTATACCATTTATGGCTGAAACAATACTTCCTTTTGATGGTTGCCAAGAATCGTATTCTTTATTTCACTAATACTTTCTTTTGATGGTTGCCAAGAACCATATTCTTTATTTCACTAATATTTTCTTTTGATGGTTGTCAAGAATCATATTCTTTACTTCACTAATATTTGTGGGAAATGTTTAGTAGGTGTTGCTCAAGAGTACCAAGAAACCTTTTTTTTTATTCTGAGAATGCATATAGATATCCATAGTAAGCGCATTAAAATAAACAAATTAAGGGTGTGTTTGAGCCATATTATTTTGAAAGAATATATTTTGAAATAATAGATTGATAGAGAATGTGTGGTTGAAAAAGAAGGAAAAGTTATTGATGTGATGGAAAATATAATTTTATTGAAAAATGTGTAGTTGAAAATAAGTAGAAAAATGAGAATGAAAATTTTAATGTGACTCAAATAGAGGCTAAGTCAAATATAAGAATTTAACTACATCAAATAAAATTCCAAAGGGTTAATAATCTCAATGGCCACTTCAAGGTTCTTCCAATAGTCATTGAGCTTTAAAATGTTTTCCAAATAGTCACCGAGCTTTCAACATTGTACGATGCTGTTGGACATGCTGCAGTATTTTGAACTTCCCTATTCATTGTCTGCTATGAAATTGATCGTAAGATTATGACAATAATGAAATAAATAAGATAATATAAGAACACTAAAATTTATGTGGAAACCCAAGATGGGAAAAATCACGTGCATAATAGGGAAATTTTACTATAATTAATAATGAATGTGTTTACAATATCCAAATCTCAATACTCTCAATTAAAATCTAAACTCTCTAACTCTCAAAATATTGTTTAATGTGTACATGGAGTTACAGCAATGTGGAATATATATATATATATATAATGAGCACCGATACTCATT